GGGTAGGGGTCAGGGAGTAGGTGTAAGCAAGAAAGAGCGGTAGGGAAGGGGGCAGGGGAGTAGGGGGTAGTGGAAGTAAGTAGGAGGGTAGAGTTCAGGGAGAGGGGGTAAGGAGGAAAGAGCAGTAGGGGAAGAGGAAGGGAGCAGGAGAGTAGAGGGTAGTGAAAGTAAGTGGGAGGGTAGGATACAGGAAAAAGTGGTAAAGAGGAAGATGGGTAGGGGAAGGGGGCAGAAGAGTAGGTGTAGTGGAAGTAAGTAGGAGGGTAGGGTTCAGGAAGAGGGAGTAAGAAGGAAAGAGGAGTAGGGGAAGAGGAATGGAGCAGGAGAGTAGAGGGTAAAGAAAGTAAGTAGGAGGGTAGGGTACAGGGAGAAGTGGTAAAGAGGAAAGATGGGTAGGGGTAGGGGACAGGAGAGAACGTTTCACTCGGTTTATGCTCACCTTATGTAAAGTATGAGAACTAAGAGAAGACAGCAACCAAAAACTGTCAGCGAAATCGTCAAAGTATCTGTAAAAGCCACAATAAATTATACTTGTTTTAAGACTAAGCTAGCTAGAGAGGGCGTACGTTCGCGTGAGTAATCAACACTTTCAAGTCGACTGCTCTTCTTTCTTAGAAAATAGATATCTTTACATTGGACGTAATATTTTGCCCATTTAAGACCACGTGTCATTCCCTACGGTATTATTTCTTATGAATGCCACTCAAACAAAGACTTTTAAATACTAAGAGAATGACACGTATGGTATGGTCTGAAATGGGAAGATATTATCCCAAAGCTAAAGCGACTCCTTAAGCCAGCAAATTGAAAGAAAAATAAATGGTAGTTTAGAAAAACATAGGGTTGATGTTGTTTGGGTGCATAGAAAGTCCTTATCATACATTCTTTTTTTGCCTCAAAAATGACCATGTGGGCGCAAAGCTAATGTAAGGCGATTCACAGCGACATTTATTCGGACGTTAAGTATTTAAAAAAGTTTAAAATCGACTGTATGTAAACTTAATTTTTCATGACTGTAAAACGGCATGGCACTGCACGCCTCAAAGCATGTACTGTGATGGTGCGGAATTGACAACATTTGTTGAGAAAATCACAGTGCGCGGCACAAAAATGCTTAGACGTAACACCGTCACGGTCACGGCACGTCCGTACCGTGCATTCTTCACTGTCACGCAAATTTTACTCTGTAGACCCTTTGCAGCACGTCGGAATGCAGCTCGATTTGAAGGACATAACAATGGGTTTCCAATTCTCGTGAGATTGAAATTCTTTTGGTTTGTCCTCCAAATGGAGCTGACTTGACGTCACATGACTTACAATGCTCATCATGAGACGAGGCGTTTTCTTTACAGAGCTCCCCATCGAAGCCACAGCCTGGTGTACTTTTTGGTATGTTGGTCGTACCTCCAGGCCACACGATATTCGAATCAAACAGAAGCCTTCTGCTTGTGAGGTCCTCTTTTGTTAAGAAAATACTGTGGTTGATGATCGGTACATACAAGCCGTGTCGGAAATTCCCGACCACGAAGCTTGGGACTCGAGTACCGTTCACCATGACAACCTGGCCTGATTCTCCTAAAATAAGATAAAAACAGAATCATTTACGTCCGCAGGCCAGCTGAGTTTTTCAAAATAAAGAAACTAAAAACCAACAAATGAACAAACTGCCAGCATAAACAGTTCAACCAACCAACGACAATGCTTGAGCGCAACAAGAATAGTGGACGTAAAGCAGCAACCACAAAGCAAAAAGGATAATTTGGTTTAAAAAATATAACGGGATTTGTCATTGCAGGATAAACGGCAGAAAGTATAGCAGGTTTTACGACCCAATGTACTTGATTAGGCAGCCGATAGATCAAATTAGAATTTAGCAGTTGATCTTTGAGGAGCAAGGAAAAACGAATCAAACCCAAATCGAACTTTGGTAGCATTAGTGAGAGGCGACGCATTAGCGGCGCACGAAACCTGCGCTTCCCACCGGCAGCTAGCAACAGCGATAACAAGTAACGAAAATGATCAGAATGATAAGAAGCAATATCATCAATGATTATACCTGGAAAATTCAAGTTGAATAAGTGTTTGACCGCTGTGGAGGTGTTTTTGACGCCAAACCCTTCACTGATGGTGGCATTTAAAGCAAGTCCAGCCAGCCAAAGAGCATCGTAGAGAAAGGCAGCATACCATGATGGCTATAAAGAAACAGCAAAAGACACGACATGCAAATGTTACATAAAATACTACCCCTTGTGCACACAAAACGTAAGTTTCTTTTGGAAGCATTATTTGAAAAGACATATGTTAGCCATTCCAAGGTTGAGACCAAAAAAAGCTGGTGTCGAGTAGCATTGCAGTGCACTGTGAGACAGTTTTTGGGGACATTTCCGAGATGGTATCTGCTTTGTGCCCTAAAACAGTGCAACGATACACTGTAATGCCAACTGACCAATGCAGTTTTTTCCTTACATTAACCTCTGAATGGCTAATAATCTTCAATATTTGCAAGAAGAATTATATTCAAAGTAATTACTACGAATAGAGGATCGATGAATGGATTTACTTACATTATCTATCAGTTGTGACTGTATATGTGAAGGCAAAGAAGATTTCATTCCGTGATAACGTCCCAAAAAGTCCCTTGTCAGAACAGGTCTTTTTACACTCAGATCAAGGATACCGTCCAGCCCCTGGTCATATTGGGTCCCAGGCCCCTCATTACCAGTCCAGTTGTTATTAGAGTAGAACACGTCCGTGTTAAGGTCTATGGTTACAAAGGCGTAGCTCCCATCAGTCATGCCCAATTTCTTGGCTGCGTACATGAATTCGGCGACGTCGTTGACGTAGCATAACAGAAGAATAACTAAATAAAGAAATAAAGAAAATCGTTTGAAAAAAAAATATGCTTTATCTTTGATAAAAGTGATTGTGAAAAAGAAAATGCATCCATCTTAAAATTGACCTGGATCACGTACTTATTGAAAAAGCATTTCTAAAGTGGGAATCCTGTGCTTTGTTTCGCCTTACCTCGTACTCTTTCTTTCGCCTTTGTCAGCAATGTTTCTTTCTTCAGATTCTTGTAGAAGTTTTCAAAGATTGGTATCTCAACTGCAGGTGTAATTGCATCGCGTATTTCTGTCGCCAAGGTTTTCCATTCGATTTCAGATGAACTTAAAATGCCGCATACTGCAATAACAGTTCAGAACATTCTCGATATTTCTGATTCTCAGTCAACCACTGTATGATGGAATATCTAATAGACCTCTTGCACTGAGTCCCGAGAGGAATTGTTCTGGGAGGCAAAACAATTTTTTTTTTTTTTTGCAAAAGAAAACGGCCTATTGTTTTGTCCCCCAGAGCAATTCCACTAGGAAATCAATGCATGGGGTTTATTCTGACTCAACGACCTGCAAATTAGGCAGATCTAGGGATAGATTTGTGTTTTTTTCTGGTTGGCACAGTTACGTGAGCACCGGCCCGTTGTGTGGGAGGTCATGGGTTCAAGCCTCGGTCTAACCAACGCTCAGGATCTTAAAATATCTGAACAGAAGGTGCTGCCTTTGCTCTAAAAAAATCTGCAAATGGCAAAACCTTTGCCGTGGCTCCTAAGACCGTACGTAAAATGGCGTTCCCGTATCATTCATTGACGTTAAACATAGAGGGCCACAAGTTTGTAATTTGTCACGTGTTACTTTATCTAAAGAAATAGAGTTGATTATGCCCAAAGTAATGACAACCATGAACCCCCTTACTAGAAAAAAAAGGGTAGTTGCAATGTTTGGAAAGCACTCATGACTGGCAAGAGGATTTTAGTGAAATTCGATCTTTTTGAAATGCTTTGATTTAAAGCTAGCTTACCTGTCCAATTGAAAGCGCGCATCAGACCTGCCACGAAAGATGTAGTGTGGTAAGTGTTTCTTCTTCCATAAGCTGTGACAGTGGATGTAGTAGAGAATACCTCCTTATCCAGGAACTTCCTGGCAGAAGCAGCGTAGGTAATGATGGGTTTATCCCAGATCTTTGCTAACAGAGCCACAGGCTCCATTGCTGTGGAACAAGCCGGACCAATGATAACATCCATTTCTTGATAATTAACCATTCCTCGTATTCCCTTTTCTTTGTTGCACCCACTATCATGTATCTGGTAGGATATATTATAACCAGGGAGTATTGATTTATTCTGCATGATGTCATGAACTGCTAAAGGGACCGATGCTGCAGTGCGTGTGCCAATTGGCCAGTAGCCAACCATGGGGAGGAGAACACCTATTTTGATTTCTTTGCAAAAGAAAATTATAAACTTTGTTGAAAAGAGTAAATTAAACAGAAATTATTATATGATAAGAACATGATATTCTCTACTTTCACATCCCCATAATGCCTTGTGTTTTTGAGGGGGTAACCAATCAAAAAACTGTCCCAAATTCAAAGGTTTCTTAATTAAATTTATACTTTACCTGCTTTTATCTGTACAATACTGATTATCAGTTTATTCCAAGTTATTTTTTCGTGTACAGATCATCAAGAGTTTTGGCGGTCTTATAGAAAATGTATGGACTTACGAAAAAATGTTTAAAATTTACCTTAAACGTCTTCAAGCTTCTATCTTTTTCTGTTTTTTACTTCTTCATTTTATCTTTGGATACCAAACAAGGTAATTCAACATTGTCTGATCAGCCTTCAGCTAAATAAGTGGGTTTTTACCCTCTGGTTACCCCCCAAAGACGCAAGGTATTATGGGGATGTGAAAGTAGAGAATATACCGTTTTTCATATCATATCTTTGACTCGCTCGCGTACTCGTTCGTTTGCGATATAATATGTAAACTCGTGAATAAAACGATATCAAGCTCTTAACACGTGATAGCTTTTATCTATTACACATTTAGAGTCGATATCAGCGTGATAAAGTCGTGAATAGAAACTACATTATTGAGGTGATACGATATGAGACATAATATTTGCAATACAAAACTCATGAGTAATTAAAAATTTTGATCAAACTGGCATGACCATAAATGTGACGTGCATGGAGCTTTGTACCCGATAAAGTCTTCTTCATTATAGGAATCTTTCTATAAAGATCGGTTACGCCTCCTGCATTTATATTGAAGTCATTAAACCCGTGAAATAGATATTAGACTAATACACTTTAGTATCCCCTAATTCCATTGTTTTCTTTTCTTACCTGGTTTGACCAGATTACACGTTGACTAGTACTTTTTATTTCACGTATTAAAATGCCTTCACTCTAAACCTCTGACGATAAAAACTCGTGCTTGTTTACTAAATAATACTTGTAAAATTTTCGCCTGAAGTAAATGTGGCTGATCGATCTTGGAGTGAAACCACATGACTCACTACTACCCGTCGAGATATAAATAACAATGAAGCAACCGCCATGTTGGTTGGTCTAATGAGGAATGCTTTGTTATCGTCAACCAACATGGCGGCTATGACGTAACATGCACCCCAAGAATTCTTAGAGTGCAACCACATGACTCAAAATCCCTTGAGATATAAATAACAATGATACAACCGCCATGTTGGTTGATCTAACAAGAGAAGTTAATGAGAAACACTTTGTTATCGTCAACCAACATGGCGGCTATGATTCGCATTCCAAAGATAGGCTGTCTTTTATAAGAACATCCAATTATTTATATTAATTAATAAATAGTTCTTTCAAAAGTCCTCACCTTTTTCATCTTGTGATGTAACCTTAGAAGTGACGAAAAAAATAGCCTGCAGAACAAGAGGGTAAATATAAATATGCATGAAAAAATCCATCTATCACTACTTGTTAGCCCCGGGAGAAGGGGAGCGGGAGGATGAATAGGGCAAAAGCGTGTAGCAAGATACTAGGTTCCAATTGGGGAGGGGGGGGGAGGGGGGACACCAAGAGTAACAGAAAAAGTGAAGGGAAAAAAACCTGGAAACAAAAAATAATAATAATTTTTTTTCATTCATTCAATCTTTTTAAGAAATTTTAAACATTGCGCTACGCCACTGACTAGGGGTTAACATTGCATGACTAGGGGTTAACATTGCATGACTAGGGGTTAACATTGCATGACTAGGGGTTAACATTGCCCGAATCCATGAGATCCGCATAAAACTTGCTCAAATTCGAATCCGAAAATAAATTGACAGTTGCCTTTTATTCCTTGTCTCGCCAGACAAAGACAAAGGTAAAACATTTCAGAAGATGCGAACTTTATAGACCGATAAATTCGTAGTCTGCGYTGCATTTACAGGATCCAATTTTACTCTGAATCCGTATTCCGGACTTAATATTTACGAATTCAATCCGTAGACCTAAAGTCTCCCCCTCGAACGGTTAGCTACCGAGTACCATTTTATCTTGATTCAGAATCATTTTTTATAATGATATAGTAGGATGACGTCTGCTTAGAAAGACAAGATATCCATCCACCAAAATTCCCTGTGTGGTTTAAATATTACTGAAGAACTCATGAGATTTAATTCAAGAGAGAAAGTCCGAAGACTCGAAGGGGTGAGGCGCCATTCATCATCGATTTGTTAATTATTGCGTCGCCAAAAAATTGAAGCACAGAAATTACTATCGGCTTTAATTATCGCAGCAAAACGAAATTTTAATAAAAGGACACACATAATGAAACGTCAGTCTTATTGAACAAACTTTTTTAGACTAGTAGCTAATTGCGTTGTAACTATCGAGAAAAGCGACGTTTTAAAGTTATTTCTCTAAGAAAATATATTTTGATTATTAATATTTTTCATCTTCATAAATAGAAAAACCAAAAAAGAAAATTACTAGCTCGGTAACGGTGGCCCTCGGTGGGATGCAGTGTAGCAACCTAAATTTTGCTTTCAACAATAACTTCAAGAAATATTAATAGTTTGGGTCATTTGAAATGGCCCAAACTGAACTTGAAAATTGGTTAAAAGAAGCTGCATTTCTTTTTTAATATTTTCAAAGGTTAATTTAACCCTAAATTTAACAAAAAAAATTTGTCGGGCTTTCGACCTATAAGTGGTCATCTTCAGGACCGCTACTGAAAGACTGAGCGTATTCCGCTTTTGGTCTTCTTGCTTTCTTTCTTTTTCTTTCCTTTTTCCTTTTTCCTATTTACCCGGTTTCCTAGTGGTCTGACATCTGTATGGTGAAGCCATTTGAAAGGATAAAAAGAGCATTCCATTTTATACCCAAACAACTCACATGCACAATTAGTCAAAAAACGCATTCAAATTTTTCTCTCTTTTTTCAAGTTTCCTAGTGATCGGATGTTTGGTAAAACACCTTGCTATTGTGTTTGAAGTATATCAAGAAAAAAAGACGGCCATTTCATTTGAAATTAATTATCGAGTCCCCAATTTGTTCAATCCTCGAGCTCTCATTTGAAGAAGACGATTGTTACGAGGTCGACCAACTAATGGGGATTTTGTCGTAAGATTAAATATTAATTTTTCACTTCTTGTAAAAATTGTCGTGGGTTTTGGTGGGATTAACTCAGGAAACAAGAATTAATTAAGGCTCCCCCACTATACTGTTCTTAGTTATTAGGGGAATACAAAACATATTGTATTTTTCACAGAAGTAAGAAATAAGAAATTAAACAAAAGAATATTTGATTTTCGATAATGCAAGGTGTTTCTTGTAAAACGAATTATTAACTTTGCCATTTTTGGTGGCTAAATCGAAAGTTTAAACTACTTTAACCACTACTGCACACTCGACTTATTCGGCACGCTTTCCAATTCTATGTTCTTTTTTCTCCTTTAAGTTTTAAGCGTGACTTTCTGTAATTTATAAACTAAATTTGAAAATGATGTGTGTGTGTGCAATAAACATCAGTCTTAAGTCTCTAAATAAGTAATTTGTTTCATTCCTATTTTTTTCATCCCCCCCCCCCCGACAAATAACGCATTATATGTACAAAAACTTACCAAAACCGTGCTGAAATATAGTATATAGTGAAATGCCATTATGTGTTGTCCGTCGAAGTAAACTGAAGACAGACGATCTGAAGCAGAGTAAACAAACACGAGTTACCATGGGTAAAATTCGCTGAAATAAAAAATTTACATTGATTGAAACTAAGAATAGAATAAGTGTGGATATTGGCTGTTATTACAGTTGAGCCTGCAATGCGCTTTTCTTTTGTTTTAAGAATCATACAATGCATTGAGGCTATCGAATTGATACAATACTTGTCTCATTTGCATCTCATTTGCATCCTCATTCGAGTAAGGGTTCTTTCATCAGTGTTTTGGAAGCGCGTGGAGTGGGGACGAGTTTGAAGCAGCAGTCTACCACGAGTTTGCCAATGCGAGTACCAAATTTTCAGTTGACTACTAATTTTTCGGCCGAATGTCAGTTTACTGTAATAACTTTCTTAACCAGAGAAATAAAATATCAGTTAACTGTTAAATACTAATTTTAAGTTATTTGTCAGTTAACTACTACTTTTTTGTAAT